AAACTAGGTCACAATGTAATCCCTCACAACATCACCGTGCGTCTACTGGAAAAACTCATTTGAACAACAAAACTAGGTCACAATGTAATCCCTCACAACATCACCGTGCGTCTACTGGAAAAACTCAATTGAACAACGAAACTAGGTCACAATGTAATCGATCACAACAAGACCATGCGCCTACTGGAAAAACGCAATTGAACAACGAAACTAAGTCACAATGTAATCGATCACAACATCACCATGCACAAACTTGAAAAACGCAATTGAAAAATAAAACTAGGTCACAATGCAATCCCTCACAACATCACCATGCATGTACTGGAAAAACTCAATTGAACAACGAAACTAGGTCACAATGCAATTGTCGCAGGTCGGAAACTAAAATTCAGTACCTTCGGTCGCTTCGCCATTTGCTTTGTCGCAGGTCGCTTATCTTCATCAGCAATTTCATCCGATCGAGTGTCCTCTTCGTCCGTCATCTTCTCCGATTAAGATACAATGCGAAGTAGGTGAATTGGGAAGCAATTGAATTGTGAAGCAGAGGAATTGTGAATTTATCTCGTTTTTCAATTTGGCACTCTGATTGAAGAACTAATGATGGCTAACGGGTAATTCGATTGGCTTTGACGGCTACTGGTAACGGAGACAGGTTATGATGGCTAACGGCGACTCCTATTGGTGGGATTTAATCTTCTCACTCCTATTTTGGGCTTTTATCATTGTTTTACTCCTATTGGGCTTCTTCTCCCATGTGTTTGATGTGTTTCTTTGCTCCATCTTCATTTTATTTTAATGGTAATCGTAAGAGTACTTATCTATTTGTAATTAATATTTTAATTACTATAATCAAATATTGATTTAAAATAGTCTATAGACTTTTTGGGATCCAAACAAATCCGAATAATAAAATACAATAAAATCTATCCAAGTCCATGTAGAATTAAAACAATCGATAGATTTTATGTAATCCATTGACTATGAAAAAACTTACATAATCTTTAAAAATCTGAATTGAATACACCCCTTAGAATTGAAATCTAAAAAATTCAAATGAAATTCCAATTTCCAAATACTACATTCAAATAAGAAGTATTTTATGCAATATCTTATAAGAAAAAGTGAATAAAACATTTTTTGGAATAGAAAGGAGTATTCCATTTCATAATAGGAAAAATAAGAAGTATAAAGTCTAATTTGAAAAAATGAAAAAGGGAAAAAACTGAAATTTACAAATGTTTCAAGATGACAAGAGTAACAATCACAAGTACACTGTCACGTATTGTTTGGAACAGATATAACATCTCGTTTTCTGTGTAGACGTCACTTACCAATACTATAAAATAACCACGATAACACCCAAAACACAAAAAATAGACTCTCTTCGTCCCAAAATATTTGTAACATTTATCTTTTCAGCTGTCGCGGAAATTTTTGTTTATTTCTACGTTTTCATTGGTTATTTGATAAAATAAAATATTTTTGACACCTCTTATTTCGAAGAACTTTTCATGTAGTTTTTTGATATGTAAATCTTATTTTTTATTTCTATACCACTATGTAAATAAAATGAATTGAAAAAGTACATAGTAAAACAACCCGGAGAAAATACAAAAAAAATAGAGGGTCAATATAATAATAAACCTTTGTTTGGAGACCCATTGGCCAATGGCCATTACATTACAATATTACATCATTCAATAACCCATTGTTATCTTGAAGTCTGCTACCCTACTAACTATCAAGATCAAGTATATAGACTTCATCCTTATGGTTCTTTTTCACCAGCTTGCTCATTAGTGCACTAGTTCACTTGCTCAATTTTTTTGTTTATGCTGAAAAATTATATATGGAGCAAATGAAGTCGCTCACTAACAATAACCATCTAATCCCTCCGTCCAAAATTAAGTTGAAAGTTTTCTATTCCCAATGTCAAACTCCATTCACTTTCTTTTTCTATTTTCGTTACTGATTTGATAAAATAATATAGTCATGTCACCACTAGTTCTATAGATCTGTTAATGTAGTTTTTAGATATGTAATTTTTATTTTTTTTAATTATACACCATAATCCATACTCCCTCCGTCCAGAAAAGAAGTTTCCAGTTTGACTTTTCCTCATTTTTATGAAGAGCTGACTTTGTAAGTAATTTGTCCAAAATGTCCCTGCCCTTCACCGACCATCTTTGCCATTGTCGTCCGCCAGCCCCTCTGTTGCCACCACCCCACCACCACCCCTTTCTCCTATAATCTTTTTCCCAGCTCACCGCCGCCCCTTTCTCCTATCATCTTTTCCCCAGCCCCGCCGCTAGCCTCCCCATCACCGTCAGCCCATGGCCATAGCCAGATCTAGTCGCCGTTAATTGGAAGTATCAAGGGAGAGAAAGAGAAGAAGAGGCTAGGGAATCGAAGAAAGAGAAAGAAGAAGCACGGATAGAGGAGATTTTGACAAAGAAGAAGCCGCACCCACCCTATCATCACCGTCGACCCACCATCTTCGTTAGGCCCCATCACCATCAACCCAACCCAACCATCACCGCTAACCCCCGTCACCATCGCCACCGCCGACACCATCGCCGGCAACCCCGCACAAATGGATCTCTAGATTTTTTAGATCTGAAAAAACAAACGAAATCCTCTAGTAGAAGAAGAAAATGACAAAAGGAAGGAAAAGAAGGGGGAGGAGAGAGAGAGGGGGGGAGAAGAAGGCTAGATTTGGCAAGAAAAGAAAGGGAAGAAGGAAGAGGAGGAAGATAACGAGGAGAAAAAAAGGAAGGGAGAGAGAAAGAGAGAGAGAAAGAATGGAAAGAGAGAGAGTACCTGCCGGCCGAGAGAAAGAAAAAGAAAAACAATAAAGGACGGGAAAGGAAGAGAATGGGTATTTTAGGAAAATTGGGTATGAAAACGTATAATGGGAACTTATTTCCGGATGGAGAAAAGCGTAGAATGGGAAGTTCTTTTCCGGACGGAGGGAGTATAAAATAATTTGAAAATAATTTCAATCAAAAATCGTAAATCGAAACAGGTAATTTAACTCGGGACTGAGTGAGTAACATAAGTATATGTACAGAGTACTTTCAAACAATATACCATTGTTTTCCCAAGCTCAATATAGAAATGACACTGATGGATTTTATAAACATTCCGCCTTTGTCCCAAACTCTTGGAACTATACTAGGCAC